AATCCCCATGTTGACATCACTGAGGGTGGTGTCATGTTCGGCCACTGTTTTTGCCTTGATGCTTACTTGTGTTTTATAGAGAACATAGGGATTATGAGGGCTATAGGGATTATATTGCCTTTTCCCTACTAAGAACCAATGAAGATATGTGTGTGTGTGTGTGTGCGCTCAAAACATTTAGCTGTAGCTCATCTTGTTGATATGAGAAACAGATGTTTTCTCACACGCGGCCGAGAACAAAGGGTAGAGCCCTCAAGTGAAAGGGATCATGGCTCTCTGGCTTAGGGTTTAGGCTTAAAGGCAAAATCCATTTAGTCATAATTTCATCCAGAGAGTGTGAAGGCCTCAGGCCCCCGTTGCAATGCTGCAGGGTCTCCAGTGCGCTCTTGAAGTTAGAAGTAGAGCGAATTCAGTATCCGTCTTGAAGCTAGAAGGGTAGCATCCAAATTCCCTTACTTAAAACGCGGCTCATAGATGACCAGTTGTCACGCCTGGTCGACACAACAAAATGGTTTCAAAGAAGAAGGGGGAGCAGCCTGGTTCTCATTGCGGCCTCTCCCAGCACAGGGAATATGTGGTGTGACTGGTGTCCTTGACAGCGCGCGCAAAGAAAAAGATAACATCTGTAAACTGAATAGTGCATGGTTCTTGGTCCTGTTTGTGAAAGCATCTGTCATTATGATATACTGATTGTTAGTATCTTGCTGAATGTAAAGGCACTGGTCTTTGCACATGCCCATGGTAGGACAGTTGAGAATTATGACGTCATAGGCTTTGTTACGGCCGGGAATCCGTGAATGATCCAAAACCTGAGACCCGTGATCTTGTCTAAAGCCCGTCCTGTGTCATCATTTGTAATGATGTTGGTAATTCAAAACGGCCTGCTTGTAAGAGTACACAACGATGGTACAAGACCATCTACTCACCTTGTTTGTGGCTCATCCCTAAATGATGATGCTGCAGAAGACATTTGCTTCATGCAGGACTCACGGCCGGATGAGCGATGCGCGGACGCACTTGTACTGTCGCAGCAGCAGCTGAAGCAGGTGTGGTAGTCGTCGGAATAGTAGCGGCAAGAATAGCAGCATTTTTCTACATACAGTTTTTACCTAAGTATTATGCGGTATGTATATTCACAGGGAGAATGAGGCCAAGATTAGCTTTAGCTCCAGCAACGCGACGACTGCAGGATGCAAGTGAATGATGGTAGCACTAATCTGAGCACTTGTTTAATTTGGGGGGGAACCCCCCCGCTGGAATAAGAAATTGAGGGTGCCAGTTTAAAAGAATGATTGGGGCTCCTGGAACTCAATTAACATCGAAGAGGAATGCATTCCCGCGTCATCGGGGCTCTTAGACCTCCATTAATGAAAAAGTGAATAGGAAGGCATTGAATATCTCGATTTTCAGGATTGGTTCCCCAGAAAATTTCTTTAAATGTAGTCCCTTCTCCCCATACGAAAAGCCACCTAATGGTAGCTGGTCTTTGGACGCCAATTTTATCCCCAAAAATGTCTTTAAATGTGGACCCTTTAATAAAACGAGTGCTGGGACTACCAGTGCGGGGAGGAACAACTCTCATCGAATAGAACTCTTGGTTAAGACACATTTGCCATCCTTTGATACAGTTTGGCGAAAAGCTACACGCATGGGTCCCGACTCAGACTGGATTGCAGGTGAGCCAATGGCAAAGATGCTTGTATATTCAGGGCAAGTGGCCGCAACAAATTTCAGCCTAATGGCTCCTGAATTGATAGGTCTGGCTTCCATCACCGTCACCGTCATCGTCATCATCCTCATCATCACCATCATCATCATCATCATCATTGTGCTCTCCGCCCAGAAGTTCAGCATAGAAGTTGAGCATAGAGCGCCACTGACGAGAAGAGCCTTTCGGATATAGAACAAAGGAACCTGCTGCGAAACTGCTGCACTAGAAAACCGGGCATCAGGCAGCGCCGAAGGACAAGACGACCAGAAAAACTTCTGCTTTGAAGGTGAAGGATCAGGTTTTAGTCAGTTGGGGTAATTCAGGGGCTATAATGGGGATATATAGGGATAATGGAAAGAAGATGGAAGCTACTATTTAAGGTTTAGGATTTTGAGGTTTAGGTTTTAGGATTTAGGAAGTTGTTCTAAAGGTCCTTGTAAAGGAGGGACCATTGGGAATACACTTCCTCAAAAAGGGGATCCTAACCAAACAGGGAACCTACATTACGGCTATTTTTTGGGTGTGTATTTTCAACAACTACCACATACCAAAAGTCAATAAACCACATTCGCAGTTCGAAGCCATTGTGTTGCACCCCTTTGCAGGCGCCAAGTTCACGCTCTGCATCAGGACTTGTGAGTTTTGCCGACAAGGCTTATCTGTGGCCTTGGTGTCAGATAGCAGTCCCCGACCAAAAACGGGGGCCCAAGCTTGAGGTACCTGTCAGGCTGAAATTCCCTGAACATTGACTCTAAAGGCCAAACCTTAGCCCTAAACCTTTGATCTCAAATCCGAAGCCCTAAGCTTACGATCCCAATCCATGCTGCGGCCTGAAGGGCCACAGCTTGCAAGCTCAGGAAAGCGGCCCCGAGAAACAAAGGACACCTGCCAGGGAGCACATGGAGGTTTCTCAAAATGCGATGCCCTTAGGAAGTCTAAAAGGTAAGAGGCAACATGGGACCATGTAAAGGGTCGATGAATTGACCGGACCCTATACAGATCTTGCTGAAGATCATCAGGGGCTGCACAGGTGCTATATGAGAAGTGGACAAGAGGAACCACCACATCAACCAAGGATTTATTGAGCCAACTCTTTGCAAGCTGATCTTATCATCTTGGTGCATCTTGATTTGGAGGAGACCAAAGACGATGAGGCCAAAGAAGCCAAGAAGAAGAAAAAGAAGAGCAAGGAGACCTAAAATGAGCGATGAAAAAGGACATCCAATCACATGCCATGGACTGGGCTCTTGTAGAACAAACTTTTGTATTTTTATGGATACCTGGGCCCAATATCAATTAAAAGCGATCTTTTTAATAGTATTTCAACAAGAACCCAGTGGACTCTTGAAGGATAACCCCAGGCCCACACAGCAACCCTGCATCGCACTGGGGCTAGAATGCAATATGGACGTCATGTCGAGTTTTCTGGGACAGGGGCGGGGTGCATTTCTCATACAAAATGGCATCAGTTCTCTTGTTGCATGGCTGTCTTTTCTAGTCTAGGTCACAAGAAGCAAGCGGGGCAGGAGGCATGCATAGACGCTGCATTGGTGACCAGCTTTTTCAGCTTGCTCCAACACTGTGAGCCTGTGTAGTTGAAGAGTAGAGCACATAGCTCGTCAACTTTCAAACGCTGAAACCCTGCAAACCCTAGCCAATGTCTGCGGACACCTCGCAGCAGATGCGAAGAGAGTTTTTTTTACAAAAATCCGTGCTTCTGCGGACCTACCACACAATCGAACCCAACATATTGCGTCCACCAAAGGGTTTAATCTGACATCCTCCTACATGGCATCGGGAGATCAAGACTCGGATGTCGACTCGGAAGAATCTGGATCTATGTTGAGTTGCAGTTTTTGCGAGCCATTGGTCCGCGTTTAGAGTTTCTGTGGGTGATCTGGCAACTTTAAGGGGTTGTGGGAAAATTCAGGCTTTTGATTTTACGCCTTGGGGCCCTCAGCAGTATAGGCTTCGGGATAGTGATACGGTTGGTATTCAGAATCCTGCGTGGTATACTCGGGGACTATGAGTCCGAGAGTGCAAGGTACTGGGGGTCATGCAGGACTTGTAGTATCCACCCTGTAGACCCACATATACTGCCAGCGTCCATTTCATTGTCCATTTTCCTCTTTTCCATGTGATTCTCCATTATCAGGCGTATTATCCTTAGAAGCATCAGCAGAAGGATCCGATGAGGTTGAGGGCTGCTTTCCCAAAAAAATGTGCCTCGTTTTCCTGTAATCTTCAAACACAGCGAGAATCAAACCTGACGCCCCAGTTTATCAATTGTCCAGAGTGGTCTGCGAGCCTTCAAGGCGTTCCATTGTATCATGTCAGTGCACTTCAGGGCAGGGAAATCTTTGGGAGCTACCTGATGAGAACAAAAACGCTGATACCCATATACCACCAGGCTGTAGTTTCCGTAGAGTTTTTTACTTTGTACTATATTTCTAAGGATTTAATAAAGCATGTCTATTATAGGTCTCCGGGGACTACAGAACATAGTACCTCTCATTTCCCCCAAGAGACTGAGGAGCATCCTGTTGCAGGTCTCCAAGAATAGTCTAGGACTTCGGCCTTTCTGGTGTCTTTCGGGTTTAGGGTTTAGGGTTCTAGGGGCAGTATGGAAGTACGTCCGAATAATGATGCCCTGTATAACCAGAGTACTTTTTAGCATTCCCTCCCCCACTCCCCCTTGACTTACTGGTTCTTACCAGGGAGTATGTTCCCTTACTCCCTACTAACATCCTAAACCCCAAACCTTAAAACCGGAAACCCCAAACACAAAACCCTTAAATCCCTAAACCCTAGACCCTAAATAGTGGTTTCCGTTTTATTTGCCGTTATTCGTACATAAAACCCCAGTCATTACGTTGAGCATCAGTTCGAGGAACTCCCCCCTTTGTTCGAAGCGGGCGAGTTGAAGCTGTCAGCCGCCCCTCAGCCCAAGACCCTGGACCGCCGCAACGGATGGCGCCTAGAGCTGGGTTTAGGGTCTAGGGCTTAGGGTGGAGGGTCAGGGGGACTTGATAAGTAGATGAATACTGGGATGACTGGGGTTATTCTAAGGGCATATAGGGGGGTTCAGGTATACTTACGAAACCCCCCCCTCACCCTCCAAGCACTATCCAGGGTTCTCGGCTTGGCTTTGCAGGAGTGTTGACCCAAGAAAGTACAGGTATTCTAGAGTTAGCATGTCGGGCTAGGCTTAAGGGGTTAATTCGGGAGTCTAGGAGAGTCTAGGAGTGTGGTTGAAGAGACAACCTCGGATGGCGGGGCGCTGCGTTGGATGGTCTGCGATGCTGCGCTATCTCTGGATCAGACGCGTGTGCAGCTCACCGCGCCAGATTCTCTGGGCCACTAGGGCAGATTTTTGGTAAACAAGGAATGTAGACCATTTCTTCCTCGGCTAAACAATTGTGCTGCGTGCTCGACGTTCCCAAAGGCCTGCAGCATTTCCTTCGCGACAGCCTCCGGGCAACTTCACATCAAGTCATGGCTCTGGTGGTGGCTTTGGCTTTGAACTCCAGCTCTGATAGCCTCTTTGCGCCCCAGTGTAGCCTTATTCCCTTTTGCGGTCCTAGGTACTTTTATGTGACTACACACTTCCTAAAAAAACAAGCTCTTTCCCCATACGTTTGAGGCTTGAAAGCCGGCGTGTGCGTTCTGGGTGGAGGCGGCATGGCCTTGCCAATGGTATTGGTGACGCATTTGGAATCTGTCCAGGTGCATGTGGTAGAGCTTCACGACGTTGTCGCATGCCTCGGATCAATTTAATTTTGGTCAATTTTTTTGGTACTTCTGGTAGTCAAGTGGTCATCTCCAGACATGAGCTATACCTCACGATAGGATACCAAACGGACCAGGAGCTTCCAAATACCACAGTTTGGTCACGTGTGCTCGGTACCTTAGGTTATAGACTTCGCGATTAGATATTTCGGCGCTTCACACCCGCGACTTCACGCAGAGCAAGGTGGGCATGTTCTATGCACCAAAATTAGAGTCCTCATCAACACTCACATGGTGTTTCGCAAGTTTATTTATGGGCATGTCTGATCATGCCTTTCTTGCCTTTAGAGGGGAAACCCTATTTACCGAAATACCCAGAGCCCACCACGAAAGATTTGTTGGTTGGTAGTAGGGAGTGAAGGAATGGAACAGAAAATAGAAAGTACCACATCATCAATGGGGCAATCCCTTGGCTACTACTCGCTACAGGGATCCATTCCTTCATTCCTACTAACAGCAAGCAAGTTAATCCTTAACCTCTCAGAACCCACATATCCCCATAACCCCCAGTCCTAATGTAACTATCCATTGGCTCTTCCATTTGATTCTCCATTATTGGATAGTCACCCTACATTATAGTCTCCGTTTAACCTCCGTAGAATCTCTGAATATGTCCCCTGTATAAGGCCTATATAACCCTATCGCCAAACTGGGTAGTTCCCCCAAAAGGGGCCCATAATTTTGAGAACAGTCCAAACTGTAAGAAGACACCTAAGCCCGGGCGGACCAGCAGGTGATGCAATCTCCAGAGTCCTGGAAGGTCACCTTCCAAAGGACCAGCAGCGACTTCTCCTACGATATATCTGCTATAGAAGCCCTCATGAAGTATGGTTGTTATTCTGAAAAAATTAGTGAGTGTAGTTTGGGCTCCTTGGGAACATTGGTGGGTGTATTTTATTTGGTGCCCAATTTTGGGGAAAATAAACTAACATGCTACCATAGATGATTCCCAGGGTCTTTAGATCCTCATATTGTCATTGTGCAGATTAGTACAAGCTCATGACCCCGCCGGCCAAAATCAATGTCACTACATGAAATCAACTATAAATTCGAGCTGCCTTGGAAATACATCTCAATTCAGACCCACGTGCCAAGCACTTTAGGGCATAGAATGCCCCAACACCTTCTTCTAGTTAAACCAGCCCCTACATTATAAACCCCTAGATTGTTCAACACAATCGTCCCACACATTCCCTACGTAGCTCTCTACGTCCCCAGCAGCCCAAAAAACTGCCACTGGCATTTAGAAACAGATGTGCGGGCTTCCCAAAATTAGGGGAGCTTTTCTGGGGGTCCCTATCATAAGGACAAAGTACCATGGGGTTTAGCGAAGTGACCTGAACGTTGTGTATTGTCCTATCCAAGTCTTTTAGGGTTTAGGGACATGTGAAGGGTTTGTGTTTGTTGGGTCTAGTAGAGGAATCATGACAGGAGCAGTATAGGAGATTGTTATAGAGAGAAAGCTACTTCAGGACATTCCTTTCAGCTTGGTCGTTCCTCATTTTGGTCGACCTCTTCTCTTGAACCCTTCCATTTCTGTATGACAGGAGTTGGCGGCTCTCCTTATCGATATCGATTTTCTTCGTGGAGATGCTCCCGCAGCGTTCCTTTCTGAAGCATTTTGGACGGCTGCCTGGGCAGACATGCTACCGGGCGCGGTGATTGCAGCAGCTCACGCTGGAATCAAGCTCATAAACTGCAAGTTTTGGGGTTGCTCAACTGGACTTTCTTTTCAGGAGTTGCTTTTTCCCTGCTTGTTGGAGAAGAGAGGTGAACATCATAGGGGCAGAGCTGGCAGATGTGGAAACGCTGGCTGGGTTGGCAGTTGGTGGCAGCGCGAAGGCGGAGATGGGTGCGATGCTTCTAGATGGTCATCGATCAAATTGTACAAGTTGTTAACACATGCATATATACAATTATATGTTGACCTGTATGTATGTAATTATGTTTGCACGTATGTATGTATGTATGTATGTATGTATGTACGTATGAATGAATGTCCTTTTCTGTCAAGGCGGCAGACGTTGCACATGTTTGTGTCTTACTACATCTTCTAGAAAATGGGTTATTACGTTCTCAAAGGGCCTTTCAGCTGGGCGGTGGGGTTAACTCTAAGTTTGGATTAGCCCATAATATAAGTATATAATCCCTATATCAAACCATATATCTCCAATATATACACTAGAACCCTTATAGTTTCCATTTCCTTTACCATTTTCCCACACATGCCTCCACGTCGCACACCCAGGTTTGTAGAGCCTGGACCTGGCAAGCAACGAGTCTGGGTTGCTGTTAAGGAAATTAACTTAAGTTACCATATTATATAAGGGTTATATAGGGTATATAGGGATACATAGGGTTCAGGGTGTATGAACTTAATTTAAGCTACCAAAATGGGTATGCATGTATATATATAGATATATATAAATATATAGTAATTGATAGGGTTTCCCCAATATAGTAATTTCAATTAAGTTCTTTAACGGCAGCTCAGGAGTCTGGACTGCCCTTATACCGCGACCGAGTGTGCTTCTACTTGGTCCACAAGCCTTGCTCTCAAAGATTCAAAGTGTTGTGGGCACTACTACTTCTACGACTCCTGCGTCTACTACTTCTGTTGAGGATGTTGACGGATTTCTGGAATGGATGTGCCTACCAAATTGGGTTGGCTTGGTGGCACGGGATGCGTTAAAAGCCATAGCAGAAGGAGGCTTAGAGATCTCCTGGCTCGAGAAAGTCAAAGGAATGCTGCTCAGCAGAGGTGTTGGTCTTCAAGATATTTTGGGGGGAGAGCCGATGATAAGGCATATTAGCACTGCACAGGGTCCTTAATTTAACGATCAAATACTATTAGCCCTATTGAGCCGAATTCTGGGGTCGGGAGGGCCCACCAAAGGAATGCCTTTTCAGAGCGCATCTTCTTCGGAAAATATTTTGGTAAGTTCCCCGAGAAAAAATAGCAAAAAGATAGATAGATAAATATGGAGAATCAAACGATAGAAAGAAAGATCAATAGAATATATAAATCAGATTCGATAGTTTATTAGAATCTCTCTAGATAGTTTCGCACCAGATCCAGATCCGCATCTATGTAGAAGGAGAATGCTGAAATATGTTTTGGCTTGCGTTTGCTTGCGATGCGGCTTTATTAATTTGTATTTGTGCCGGCAGATCTTGCGAAACCCCGTCATCTAGTCTGATAGCAACTTACGACACTTACGATATTACGACGCTTACGATGCAAAATGGCAAATCTGTTCTAAATCTTATATTCTATATGGAATTTCGAATAAATTGTTTTTGGAGTTCATATGATTTTTGGCTAAGGATTCTCTACGCCTAATATTGTGTATGAGATTTGAGATTAATACGTTTCTATTATGAAAATTATCCTATAATAGATGATAAAGAAGGAGAAATTAGATTTCAAATTTTTGAATATTTATCGCTCTTATGTTTCAAGAAATCTAATATATATTTAAGATATTTCAATATCTTTATGAAATATATTTTATTAGAAAATTCGAAATGATAAGATACATATATATTTACGATAATAAGATAATTGAAATATATTATTGGAATAAAAATTGCAATAATTTCTAATAGGAAATAATCGTGAAGATAAATAATTAATATGAGAAGGAATATATGATTTAATATTTATGCATTAATCTATAATGAGATATATATTCATAGAATATAAAGATGATTATCAAATTAAGTCTTATTTCTAATGATCTCATAATCTTATAAATAGAATATTTCAGATAAGTAGATATCGCGATAGTCGCTTGCTGCCGCGAGGTCCCAGGCGCTTCATTAATCGAATGAATACAGCCGCAGCATAGCCACTACTCCTGTCCGGCAGCAACGCCTGTCTGCAGCCCTGGATGAGGCTGAACGAGATGCCTTGCTTTCTACCGCGGATGACGAAACCCGCCGCGCCTACCTCCGTCTTCTGCAGGAGCCTGGCGCTGGCGCATGGCTGTCCGCCCGCCCTGTTGAGGCTCTGGGCCTGTCATTGGAGCCGTAGTTCTTCCGCATCCTCCTGCGCCTCCGCTTGCGCCTCCCTATTGCAGCCTCCGAGGGCTACTGCCCCTTATTGCGACCATTCTCTTATCTGCCCGTGCGGAGGAAACCGCGTGAAGCGGCACAACCGATTGCGGACCCCGCCTCCCTCGTTGCGCGTGCTGAGGCCGCCGGTCTCTCTCCAGAGGCGGAGAAGCCTGGCCTCCTCCCAGCTCGCCCTACTGAACTGGGTTTTTGCGAGGCGGGGGGCGCTACCACTTCGCAAGGACGTCGCCCGGCAGACGTTTACGTCCCGCAGTGGGGCCTACATGGACCCGCAGCATTCGACCTCGCCGTCACCAGCGGGCTCCGCGGAGACGTGCTTGCGGCCTCTGCCTCTGACGGCTCACGGGTATGCGCAACCTATGAGGACCGCAAGCGCGTCTACCAACAGACCCTCGCCCGGTATGAGGCCCAGGGGCTCCAATTCGTGCCCCTTGTGGTCGAGGCTCGCGGTCGGCGGGGGAAGACAGCCATAACTATATGGCATTCTTTGGGTTCCCTTCTCTCTGCCCGGACTGGTGAACCTGCCAGTTTGACCATCGACCATTTGCTGCAGAGCTTCAGCGTTGCGCTCCAGCGTGAGAACGCCCGAGCCGTCTTCCGACGCCTCCCTGCTGGACCTACTGCCCCGGCGCATCTCGCCCAGCCCTAAGGCCCCAGGTGCTCTAGGGATTAGTCTTCCCTTATAGTGGAACTGTCCGGTTTCGCTGGGCCACTAGGCTGTCGCAGCTATAGTCCCGCTTTCTCGGCCTCTTCCCCTGCAGC